TCCCCTTTCTCCGCATCCCCGCCAACATCTGTCGTTTCCTGACTTGTTAATTTTAGCCATTCTGACTGGTGTGAGGTGGTATCTCATTGACGTTTTGATTTGGATTTCCCTGACTAGCCTTTCTTCTAAAAAACGTTGACAGTGGGCCCATTTGTCTGTTGAGGTTAGCATCTGAAAATCGTATAGCATCCGGCGTGGTGAACACTGCTTCTCAGTCTCCTCCCTGAAGAAGGGTGCATATGGCTCCCGCTCACCCCGCAGCTATTCTGGGTCATCCAGAAGGGAGGCCAGGACAAGCCTCTGTGCTCTACTCGTCATGACTCTCCCTCCATCCAGCTAATTTCACCCTCCAAAATGGTTTATGACTACGTTATGCAGAGTGTGGTCCACGGAACCCCAGGCCCACCCTTCCTGCTTGCATCTGAAGCCATATGTGTTCTTTATATTGACAAGGGGAAGGGAGACTAAAGACACTGACTTCTGTTGGGAACGGTGCAGAGCACTCATTCCCCACCATCGCCACCCCCTTTCTCTTTTATCAAATAAAGGAATTCACTTGCAGTGAAAATATCTACACGATCATCCTCATCCTCCTAAATCCCTACTCTGTACTTTGTCTTTCTTTTTCAATAATTCGGTGGCTCTGACCTCCTCCTTCTCTTTCCCCTGGCACCGCGATGCTTGTGAGTTACTAGTGCTCGCGGGCCATCAGGACACCTCTGTGCAAGTGTGCGCCAGAAGACATAACCAGTGGCCTGGGAGAATGGGAATGTTCAGATGGCCTCTCGGGGTGTCATTGGTGAGAGAGCACCACTGTACCTTAGTAGTGTCAAAATCTCCCCCTTTCGCGGGCCATCATTTTAAAATAGAATATTAACCATAAAAGATGAGATCTTACCATTGGCAACAACATGGACGGACCTAGAGGGTGTTATGCTAAGCGAAATAAGTCAAACTGAGAAGGACAAATACCAAATGACTTCACTCATATGGGGAACTTCAAAAACAAAACAAATGAATAAACAAACAAAAAGCATAATGAGAGGTATAGATACAGAGAACAAACTGATGGTTGCCGGTCGCGGGAGGGGGTAGGCAGAATGGGGGAAGGAGAGTGGGAGATACAGGCTTCGAGTGGTGGAGTGAATAAGTCATGGGGATAAAAGGTACAGCACAGGGAATATAATGTTGTAATAGAGCACTGTATGGTGACAGCTACACTTGGGACGAGCATAGCATAATATGTAGAGAAGTTGAATAATTATGTCGTACACCTGCAACAGTGTAACATGATGTCTCGACTATATGCGAATAAAAAAAGTAAAATATATGGGGCACCTGGATGGCCCCGTGGGTTAAGTGTCCTGACTCTGGATTTTGGCTCAGGTAATGATCTTGAGTCCTGGGATCGAGCCCCACATCAGAATTCAAGCTCCCGCTTGCGTGCACTCTCTCTCTCAAATAAATAAATCTTTTTTAAAAATAAAATAGACTATTAAAGCAAGTTGGGAAAACCACAGGAGGGTCTTGATTCTGACCCCGGCTGCTTTGGGTAGCCACTACAGCCAGTGAGAGGCTCCCTCATTTACTGAAAGAGCAAAGACCCCAAACCACCCATAGGTGGTGACTGACTCCTCTGAAATCCTTTCTGCAGTGTACCTGGTTCTAAGAAAGTATCACTTAGGAAATGCTTCTGGAGAAACCTCGTGAAGACCCTTTGTTCCAAAGGAAGGACCAGTCACGCTGTGGCCCCGGGTTATGGCAGCAGCATCCACCTGGGACGGCGGGAACCACTAGCAGAAACAGTGTAAGAGGACACCTAGAAAGGAAAGGGCAGGAAAGACAAGAGGCAAGGGGTGAAAGAACCCAGACCACGGTCCTCGGCACAGCCTGGGACAGACAGGCAGCCGTATTCCTTGCAGTGCCCTTAATGCAACCCGTGTTCTAGCCCACCATAGGCAAGGCACATTTCTGCTTTATGCTGAAGCCTTTCCAAATGGGAGAGCCGGTTCTGAAGGAAGGGGGTCGTGTTCGGTGAGGAGCTGCTGTACACACGTCCGGATGGCTCTCTCTCTGGCCGCCAGCCGGGGAACCTGATGGGTGGTCTCAGCCGGCCCAGGACAGCCCGAGGAACCAAGGCCGCGGCTGCTGGTGCCATTTCAAAGGCCAGAAAGGAAGGAGTGTGGATCTCTAACTTGTTCTCACAGTGAGGGAAGCGGGAATTGGAGGGTGTGGAATTAGCAAAGGCCAACCCGGTGACTACACTTGCCCCATGATGCAGTTCCCCACCAGGAACAGCCCTGGGATGGCAGACGTTGGCATTTAAATGTTAGAAATGCTCTTTCTGACCTTTCACAGCTAATGGGCCTGTGTCTTTCTTTCCCTTCAGGTCCACATCGGCCAAATGTATTTGACTGACAAGATTATCATTGAGAATCAAGAGAAGCCTAGGACCTAGGGGGCCGGGACCAGCCACCACCAACAGCCGTGGACCAGCTTCAGCATCCATTCTGCGCTTGGGGTGGGGGCTCCCCCCAGACCACAAGTGGCCTCTTCCATCAGCTTAGCATAGCCTCTTGCTTGGCCTGCCCTGTAGGAGCTGATAAACTGAGTCTGGTTTCCATTCTTCTGCAGCCTTAGTGGAAAAGGGTGGCTGGCTCTCCTTGATTCAAGTGTCCGAGTGAAGAGCTGGAGCTGGCTCAGAATAATGCTGTGTATTATTGCGTCTCCTCTCGACCCCACTCCTCTTTTGTATCTCACCACCACTTGTATAGAGCTCCTCCACCCTCTGTCTCTTCGTTGACAATAAACAGAATTGTCTCCCGAAGCCTTCCTACGCCAGATACGCTCCTGACTATGAATGCACTTTCGTTTCCTGCTGAGGCAGGGCCTGCAGAGGGCGGTGGAGACCCAGAGGGAGGGTCCAGACCCGAGCTGAGCCCTCCCTTTGTGGAGACAAGTCTAGGCACCCAAGATTTGGAGGGCAGCATGGAGTAGGGCAAGGCCAAAGGGGTAGAAGGTGCATCCCACAATTTATAGCTGGGCCCAGTGCAACCACAGAGGGGCTCACCCCTGGCTCCCCACCTGGAGACAGGAGACTGGTGGCCCTGCTACTCCGAGTGTGGTCTGAGGATGGGCACCAGCAGCCCCGCCTGGGAGCTGGTTGGAAATGCAGAATCTCAGGCCGCAGCCCAAATGCTTTGAATCCGAATGTTGAGTCTAACACATCCAGGTGCCCCCAGCCCACGCTGAGGTTGGGAAAGGGCCACTCGGCTCTGCCTCCCAAAGCTGGCTTCCCTGAGCTCCCTTCACAGTGCCATGAGCATCTGCAGAATTGGAGAGTTTTTTTAAGAAGAATTTCTCGGCGCTTCCCTCCCCTCGGATTCTGACTTAGTAAGTGAGAGGTGAGGCATGATCATTTATATCTACATTTTTAAAGGTCCCCTGGTGTTTTTACGTCTAGTCAGTTCAGGAAACTCTGCTTTTTGAAGATGTTGCAGGTAATAAAGACATTTGTGTTCATTTAGCCTTGGAAACACATCAGCTAAAAACATAATAAGAAGGTATTAAATAACTTACTTGATTTCTGGGGATTTTATGGGGGACCCAGATACTATCTGAGTGACTTGTTTACCTTTGTAAAAGGCACTAAGTGAATTCATGACTTAAGGTGTTGAGGTTTGGAACAGGCTCATATGAATATTTCCAGATTCTAAAATGACAGTGTCACTGAACCTGCCACTGACCCACGGCCCCTGTCATTCTAATTCTTATAGTCATGTGAGTCAAGTCTGGGTCCTCATCCTCTCCCATGTGAAAAGATCACATGTGCCCTCCTCACCCCCAGATGGTGGATTTTGCTGTGCATTCAGAATAAATTACGAGTGTACTCCTGGTTGGCAGTACAACTTAGGATTTCAGAAGGCTTTTGCCCGTGGATACTCTTGTACACCTGCACCTTGGTAGGTCTTGGACCTGACCCCCACCCCGCAAACAATGTTAGCGCTACAGTGCGGAGTAGACAGTGAGTATAGGTGAAGTGGGAAATGTGCTCTCTCTCTTCGGCTGACTGTCATGGGACAGAGTAACCCAACCTGGGATGTGCGGCTCTCGGTCACTTTTTCCACTCTGTGTCAGTAGGAAATGGTCCAAGGACTAGCTAATGAATGTCACCTCTGATTTACACTTAATGAATTAAAGCAGCTGCTACTTGGAAACCTAAGTCCAGGGTTGAACCTCTCCCCTTGAAGTGTCAAGTTACTAGCAGGGTATCCGTTCCAGAGGAGACTTCCCCCCCCCCTCCCAGATTTGAGTCACAGAGGCAGTGAACCAAGCAAACTTAGCTCGTTTTGCAGGACATAACAGCAGGTCACTTTTATGTTAATTAAAGCCCATGGGGACGTCTGGGTGGCTCAGTTGGTTGGGCGGCTGCCTTCAGCTCAGGTCATGATCCTGGAGTCCTAGGATCAAGTCCCACATCGGGCTCCCTGCTCAGCAGGGAGCCTGCTTCTCCCTCTCATCCTCCCCCCTCTCGTGCTCTCTCTCATTCTCTCTTTCTCTCTCTCTCTCAAATAAATAAATAAAATCTTTAAAAAGATAAATAAATAAATAAAGCCCATGAATGGGTTTGAACAGGCCCAAAGCCTTAAACAGCTTAATTTTTGTGACTCGGATAAGAATAACTATGAATTAGGAATATATAGAAAGACATGAAAAAATCCTGCCCCATAAAATCCACAGTCTAGAGCCTGTCTTCCAGGTACAGGTGAGGCAGGCAGAGCCTTGCACTGGGCACTCCTCAACTCAGAGGACCCAAGGTGGACTCCAGAGCTTTGAATAAAGTGACATGCCCGTGGGAGTGTCTGTTTCTATAGTTAAGAGTTCCCCGTGCTCGACTGGAGCCCCACATCACACTCAGCCTTGCGGACCTCTCTAGTGTGCTCGGCTGTTCTGAAGGAGGGATTCGGGCTGGAGTCTGGAGACCACTTTGCGGTGTCAGCATTTAGCAAGTGAGAAATGCCAATACGAGTTAACCTCTGAGACAAAACCATTGGCCAAGCACAGCTATTCTCTAGACCTCCGGAGATGACACTTGGTTGGTCTGGCTATCATGCTTTGATACCCGGGAAGCCTTTCTTGAGCACAGGCATGGCTATGTTGTTCTGATGGCTGTTGTTCTCTGGACTCTGGAGCTGAAAGATGATCGTGGATCTGACGTAGCTAGCCCCACATCTACTCTGCCCTGCCACCAACAGCAGTTACTTTAAACTCCCTTCATCCATAGCTTCATCCAACATCTCCAGCGCCTGAATACAACCAACAGCGCCACCCGGCATTCAGGAGCGAAGGGGACAGGCTAGGGGGACATCTGCAGAGATGACAATATGGCGGAGCTGCCAGGCATTAGAGTCCACCTGATCCAACCCCCACATTGGCAGGTGTGAAAACCAAGATCCTGAGCATCCCGGGTCATCTGCAGACCTTTCCCTGCCACCCCTTTTGCTGGTCTTTTCGTTCATTCAGCGCTGACTGCGAGCCAGCTGGTGCCAGGCGCAAGGGAGAGACCAGTGAACAAGGCAGCCCCTGCCTTCACAGAGCTTGCAGTCCAGCAGGGGAACTGGATGAGAAAGGACACGTCTGAGGAGTGTTACAAAGGCTGAAATAAAGGTCTTCTAGGAGCTAGCTGATGGGGGGTATCTGGAAAGCCCTCCCTGAGAGAAGGGTGATTTAAATTGAAGATTAAATGAGGAGTTGGCTGGACAAAGGGTAGGGAGAGGAGCTCTCTAGGCAGGAGGAACAGCATATGCAAAGACCTGAATGGGGGGGTGCGGGGGTAGGAGGAGAGCACCATGCAAGGAACTACCTACAGGCAGCCCAGGATGGCTGGCAAGCAAGGATGAGTCAAAAGGCAGGGAACACACTGCAGAAGGCCCAGGGAGCCTTGGCCTGTGGCTGTAAGAAGCTATTGAAGTTTTTCAGCAGGATGAAGTTTGTATAGGGGGAATCAATTGGGAGAGATGCAGAGAGACCACCTTTTATGGGCGGTGGGGGGAGGGTTAGATTGGACACTAATCCAGGTAGGAGATGGTAGTGACTTCACCTAGGACGGTGACGGTTGCAAGGTAGAGTCAACATCACCCTGAGAAGAGCTTGCTTTGACGCAGCTGCTCTCCCAAGGCGAGTGAGAGACACGTGGAGCAGAGGCGCCCAGCTGAGCCTCCCAGCCAAGTCTCGCTGAGGTCAGTCCACTGCAGCCAAGCCCTGATACGGAACAAATTACTGTTTAAGGCACTAAGTTTGTGGGTGGCTATGGAGCAATGACAAGCTCATACAGAGAGCTCATATGATAATATGTCTCTTTTTCAGGGCCACCTAGCAAACCAAAGAGTAGGTAGGCAAACTTGGTAAAACTGGGGGGCTCCTGTGTGGAGCCCATTCCACAAGCACCCACAGAGTACAGTTGTCAAATGTCTTACAGACGAAAGGGCTTGCCAACCACTGGGCCCCATTAGTGTGTGCCTAGCACAAAAGAGGACCAAGAAAAGAAGGAAAAGGGAGTCAACAGGACTTGATCATTGATTGGATGTGAAGTGCAGAGAGGGTGTCACGGGAGTCCAGGAGGGGTCTCAGGTTTGGGGCCTGGGTGACTTAGCAGAGGTTGGGCCACCAGCTAAGACAAGACAGCAGTGGGCACTGTCTGAAGCTTTGTCCACCTGCCAGGTTCAAATAACCTCAAGTTCAAACAGGAAGACTAGCATCTACAAATGTATCTCTTACTTCCAAAGGTTGAAAATATTATTTCCGGTTTTTCCAAACAAAGAAAAAAATCCACTGGAAGAAAATTTAAAAGACCCTTAAAAGAGATTTTACCCATAGCTCTCTGTACAACAAATATACTCCTTCTACAGATAAAGCCTACAGATATGTATTCTCTCTGGGGACAGGAGGAGTAGGGGGAAAGTTTTCTATATTTTGTAAAAAGCGTAAGATTTTTAAAAAGGCGAAGGAAGGTTGGTCTACATATTCTAAGAGTATGGTTCTAAGAACGCAACTAAAATGCACAGTAAAGGGGCGCCTGGGTGGCTCAGTAGTTAAACGTCTGCCTTCGGCTCAGGTCATGATCCCGGGGTCCTGGGATCGAGTCCCGCATCGGGCTCCCCGCTCGGCAGGAAGCCTGCTTCTCCCTCTTCCACTCCCCCTGCTTGTGTTCCCTCTCTCGCTGTGTCTCTCTCTCTGTCCAATAAATAAATAAAATCTTTACAAAAAATAAAAAAAATGCACAGTAAAATATCAACAAGTATACAGAAAATGCACCAATATGTTTTATAACAGAATGAGCTGCTTAGGTTTGTTCGGTCGCTTTCCAGACTGAAGGATATCACAGGTACTGAGGCCAGGCTACAAATATAGCTGCAGCGGAAGAAATGATAAGCACTCAAAACACAGAAGGAGAAAGCATTTCCTACGCCAAGAATGATGTTCTCTGAGTTGGGAACTCTTCTCCTGGACCTCCCCACAATCACGAACAGGAAGTTCTTTTCCTTGGTAAATATGGCCAGAACCCAGATGACCAATTCTTTTTTTTCTTTTTTTTTTTTTTTAAGAGAGAGAGAGTGGGAGGTGGGGTAGAGGGGGAAGGAGAGAGAGAATCCCAAGCTGACTTCATGCTGAGCGCGGAGCCAGACCTGGGCCTCAATCTCAGGACCCTGAGATCATGACCTGAGCCAAAGACCAAGAGTCTGTCACTCAACCGAGTGCGCCACCTAGGAGCCCCTAGATGACCCATTCTTGACTAAAGACAATCATATGAACCGAAGAACATTTTAATAGTT